CCAGCGACATCGATCCTCGGTCCTCGAACGTCGAGGCTCGGGAGTCGAGAACGTATCAGACCGACGGCGACATTACCCTTTCCAGACGCCCCTGCTCCAATGGCTCCCTCCTGACTGCCTCACCCTGGTCAGGCGTCGGCACATCGTCTTCTGGCACCCGGTGCCTCCACCCCGGCCCCTCACGTTCCTCACCCCCCACTGCTCCATCCCTTCCTCTGGCTCCTGCACGTCTGCCCTACTCCGCACCCCCTCCTCCTCCTCCGCCTCCTCCTTCCCCACACATCCAAAATATATGCTTGAGCATAATCCGTCTGGTCCTCCTTCAAGTCCCCTCCCCGCATCCCACTCCTCGTCTTCATATCTCTTCCTTCCGCCTCAACTTACTCCTCCTCCTCCCGTCCCGTCCCGTCCCGTCATCATCATCATCATCAGCATCATCATCAACATCATCATCATCATCATCATCATCATCATCATCATCATCATCAACATCATCATCGTCATCATCATCGTCATCAGCATCATCATCAACATCATCATCATCGTCATCATCATCATCATCATCGTCATCATCATCATCATCATCATCATCATCAGCATCGCTGTCATCAGCAGCAGCATCACCATCATCAGTATCGTCATCAGCAGCATCATCATCAACTACAGCACCTTCATCATCATCACCATCACCGTCACCATCATCACCATCATCATCATCATGAGCATCATCACCATCACCATCACCATGAATTTCAAAATCATAATCATTACTACCACCATCATTCTCATCGTCATCAGCATCATAATCATCCGCACCATCATCACCACCACAAACAGCAGCATGACCACCATCATCATCATCCTCATCGTCGTCCTCGTTATCATCAACATCATCATCATCAGTTTTATCATCATATGTATCACCATCAACCTCATCATGATCATCATCATCACCATCATCATCACCATCGCCATCATCCCTGTCATCACCATAATTGCAAGATCTACCATCAGAATCATCACCACCGTTATAACCACCACCACCACGAGCATAATGATGATCACCATCAACGCCATCAGCATCATCATCACAACAAACATCTGCATCCTCACCACCACTACCACCAACACCAGCATCATCAACACCTCCGTCATCATCAACATCATCACAATCAGCATCGCCATCACCATCACCAGAACTAGCAGCATCATCACCCTCACCACCTCCAGCACCACAATCATCATCAACATAACGATCAGAATCAGCAGGGACCTCGTCATTACCATCAGCAACAGCACCGTCAGCTGCAACACCATCATCGTCATCGCCGCCGTTATTACCACCACCATCACGTCACCACCATCGCCCTCAGCACCTCAGCATCATCATCAACACCAACATTCACAGCAACATCATCACCATCACATCGACCACCATCATCATATGCATCATCAACATCGGCATCATTACAATCGTCGTCATCATCAACATCATCATGAACAACCTCCTAATCACCGCTATCAACAACTTCATCACCACCGTCATCCGCATCATCACTATCACCACCGCCAACACTACGATCACCACCAACAATTCACATCAACAGCACCATCGCAATCAGTACCATCATCATGATCACCAACATCAGCAACATCACCGTCACCACCATCATCACACACCACGGTGATCATTCATCAGCAGATGCATCATCACCACTACCATCAGCACCATCGTCATCAGCAGCAGCAACATCATCGGCATCGTCATCCTCAGCATCAGCCTTGTTACTCGTATCATCACCATCGTCATCGCCATCATCATCAATCTCAGCGTCAATGTCAACATCATCGCCATCACCATCACCGTCGCCACCATGATATGTCGCATCATTCACTTCGCCACCATCATCACCATCAGAACCATCATCAACCTAATAATCATCATCAGCAGCATAATTATCATCTCATTCAGCATCATCAACACCAGAAGCCTTATCGTCATTATTAACACCCTCATCATCCTCATCATCATCATCGTCGTCCTCACCACAATCATCTTCAGCATCATCATCATCATCATCAGCAGCAGCAGCAACATCATCATCACCACAAACATCGCCAGAACCATCACCTTCATCATCATCATCCCCATCACCGCCCCCCCACCACCACCATTGCCACCCCCCCACCACTATCATCATCAACATGATCATCATCATACGCATCATCATCATCACAATCGTCATCATCATCAGCATCATCGTCGTCGTTGACATTATCATTGTCCGCTGATTCCTCCAGCGTTTGCTCCGCTTCCTCCGTCTACATGTCTTCCTCCTCCAACTCCTCCACATCCTTCTCCTCCTTCTTGTTACCCTTCTCCTGCTACCTCATCCTGCTCCTCCATCCTGTTCCTGCTTCTGCGCCTCCTCCTACTCCTCCGCCTCCTCCTTTTCATGCGGGGCCCCAATATATACACCACCACCAGGCGGGGCGGCCATAGGAAAGGACAACATCCTGCGCGCGACCGCCTTGACAAGGGTGCCACTGCCTGCCCCCGCTAAGTGCAAGCAAATACTTGCCACGCCGTCATGCGCGCAGATGGCGGCCGCATTCGGTCGCGAATAACTGCTCCCAAGCACCCTATGGCAGCACGGTGGTGTATGAAAACGATACCCCCCCGGGAACTCTCTACATCACCCGCAGATATACACCACGTCACTGTGTCGCTTTTTTGCGCGTGCAACATGACGCTGCACACGCGACATGTCATTACCGCGAGATTTGACGCACTCTGCAACCCGCCGCCGAAACAACAGTCTGATCAACCCCCCTGACAGAAAACCAGCCCGCGGATGTGATGTATACATGCGTGGCTCCGGATTTCACACTGATCCACTTCATCATGTGAAGGGGCCCTGGGACACACACATAAATACACACATAAACAATTCCCCATAGTTTCCCATATGTTCTGGGTTTCTGTCTGCCCCCCCGCTTCCCATATGTTCGCATATTTTCTGAAGTCGACGAATAATTGTGTCTGTGTTTTTTTCCCCTCCTGATCATTACCCCTCTTCCTTCTCAAACTTCTCCTTCTGCCTTGCGGCCCAAGCCTGTCGAACGAGCTGGACGCGAACGTCTTCCCGTCCCCGAGGTGGGCCAACTGCAGGGCGTCGGGGGGGCGGAACTCGAGCGCTGCCCCTCCGCCCCCTCCTCCCTCCCCCTCCTCCTCCTGCTCCTCGCTCACCTCCTCCTCCTCTTCCTGCTGCTCACCCTCCTCCCCTCCCACTCCTCCTCCTCCTCCTCCTCCTCCTCCGCTCCTCCTTGTCCTCCTCCTCCGCCTCCTCCGCCTCCTCCTCCGCCCCCTCCTCCTCCCCCTCCCCCTCCTCCTCCTCCTCCTCCTCCTCCTCCTCCTCCTCCTCCTCCCCTCCTCCTCCTCTCCGACGACGAGGTCGACGACGACGACGACGACGGTCGACGACGACGACGACGACGACGACGACGACGACGACGACGACGACGACGACGACGAGGTGCGGGGGTCCTACGGGGGGACTCAGCAGGAGGGTGATGCACCCCCCCCTCCCCCTCTGCACTGACCAGCAGAGATGCTCGACGCCTTCGCCCATCTGATCCTCCTCCTCCCCCTCTCCTCCCTCTCCCTCCTCCTCCTCCTCCTCCTCCTCCTCCTCCTCCTCCTCCTCCTCCTCCTCCTCCTCCTCCTCCTCCTCCTCTCCTCGCTGCTCCTCCTCTCCGACCGACTCCTCCTCCCTCCTCCTCCGCTCCTCCTCCCCTCCTCCTCCTCCTCCTCCTCCATCCTCCTCTCACTCCCTCCTCCCTCCTCCCCTCCTGCCTCCCTCCTCCGACCTCCTCCTCCTCCTCTCATCCTCCTCCTCCTCTGCCGCCGCCGCCGCCGCCTCCCCTCAGTCCGCCTCGTCCTCCCCCTCCTCCCTCCTCCTCCTCCTCCTCCTCCTCCTCCTCCTCCTCCTCCTCCTCCTCTCCTCCTCCTCGTCCCCTCCTCTCCTCCTCCTCCTCCTCGCTCCTTCCTCCTCCCCTCCTCCTCCTCCTCCTCCTCCTCCTCCTCCTCCTCCTCCTCCTCCTCCTCCGCCTCCTCCCTCCTCCTCCTCTCCTCCTCCTCCTCCCCCTCCCCCTCCTCCCCCCTCCCCCTCCTCCCCTCCTCCTCCTCCTCCTCCTCCTCCTCCTCCTCCTCCTCCCTCCTCCTCCTCCCCCTCCTCCTCCTCCTCCTCCTCCTCCTCCTCCTCTCCTCCTCCTCCTCCTCGTCCTCCTCCCCTCCTCCTCCTCCTCCTCCTCCTCCTCCTCCTCCTCTTCCTCCTCCCGACACGGCGGGCGGAGACCGCGACAACTGCTGTGACTCGGGATCAAAACATCCCTGCTCGCCCAGGCGGGCCCAAAGTGGCACCCACCACGGCGTCCATCCATGGCGTGGAGTCTGCGAGCATAGTAGCCAGCCTCGAACCTATCCCTATCCCTAAGATTAACAGGCCAAAAGTCGACGACAATCTCCGGGATGCGCCCTCAGAAGCGGCGGGAGTCCCCAAGATCGGCATCGAGATGAGGCGATGCCGATCATAGGGATAGGGATATGTTCCAGGCTGGTGACATAGACCCAGAAGACGAACTTCCTTGAGCTTCGCGGTGGGTTCGGTTGCAGCGCTGGACCTGGGGTACAGTGCTGAGGCTGGCGGCGCCGCCAGCCAAAAACCCGTGATGCGGGTCTTTATGGCTGCTGCTCTCAACGGTTAGTTTTTCTCGGGTGAGTGTAAGTGCGGCCCTAACAGGAGCAGAAGGGTGCCCAGCGTCCCTGCTCTTCCTTGCGCCCTGGCTCTTCCTTGCTCTTGCGTCCTTGGCGGTTTCGTCGTCCGCCGCCCCAGAAATCCCAACTTCGGCTTCCAAGGGGCCAAGGGTCTTGCGTCCTTGCCGCGCGTCCTCATTAGGGCTTTTGCCTGCAGTGTTTCTCGGGCGAGTGCCAGCGCGGCCTCCACAGGAGCAGAAGGGGGTGCCCAGCAGGATCGCCGCGCCACCGCTCGTGCCTGCCGTGGCGGGGGCGCCCGGGGAGGGCCTCCTGGGCAGGCATGGCTTTTTGGGGAGGGCATCGACCTCGGCATGATTCTGCGCTCCTCCTGCCCGCTTGGCTCTCCTGGCCGGGGGGTGCGGGGGCGGCTCCGTGCTGGGGGGTGGGCCTGCCTCTGCATGCGATGCCTCCTCCTCCTCCTCCTCCTCCTCCTCCTCCTCCTCCTCCTCCTCCTCCTCCTCCTCCTCCTCCGGCACCGGTGGGCCTGCGATCCTTGCCTTCGGCCCTGCCGCCCCCTGTGTGTCTCGGCGCCGTGGGCGCCTGCCCTGCCTCGCCGCGGCGGCCCCCGCGCGACGCGACCGGGCATGGCACGGGGCGCCTGGGGCCAGCAGCCATGGGCTCGGCCCTGGCCCCATCGTCGGCTCTCGCCCCTGCCCCCCCCCCGCCCTCGGGCCTCGGCTCCGGGTCGGCAGGAGGAGGAGGAGGAGGAGGAGGAGGAGGAGGAGGAGGAGGGAGGAGGAGGAGGAGGAGGGAGGAGGAGGAGGAGGAGGAGGAGGAGGAGGACGCTGCCCGTGTCCGGGCCGTGCTCCTGGCCGCTGGTCCTGCTGCTGGGCCTGCCTCGTGCAGAGAAGCCGAAGAGCCGGAAGGAGCAGCACTTTCTAGAGCACCGCGTGGAGTGCTGGGATCCGCGCTGGGCCCCCTCCCTGGCGCGCGCGCGCAGCACGCCAGGCACGGCGCCGGAGACACCACCAGGGGCGGGCCCAGCACAGAGGCAAGAAGCCCGCGCGGAGCTCCGCGAGTTCCTGCTCATGCCCGTGCACAGTCCGGGCCGTGCTCTTGGCCGATGGTCCTGCTGCTGGGCCTGCCTCGACAGCAGGGGCTCGCGCCTCGAGCGGTGCGGCCAGGCAGCGCCCGCCACGGAGCTCGTGCTGCAGGACTTCTCGACGGGCGCGCGTCGCCCCTGGGGGAGCGACGCACGCGTGGCAGTAGTCTGGTGGGGCGACGCCGACACTGGGGCCCACCTGGGAGTCTGCTGACTCTTCGGGGCATTGGCACCGGCGTCGGGCGATGAAACCTATACCCAGCCACTGCCCCGGGCCTGGCGTATGCTGGCGGATGCGCTGCTGCTGGAGGGCGTATGCACCGCTGCTGGACCCAGGATGGGCCAGGCCTGGGGCAAAAGATCTGTGCAGACCTCGTCGACCTACACCAGGGGCCCCGCTGAGCCGTGAGCTGGCAATGTTGGCGGAGGCGCTGGAGGCGCGGGCACCTGCGACGACTGCTCGGGCACTGCGACCTGCGACCGCGCGCCGAATCTGCCGCCGTGCCGTGCCAAGAGGTCAACAAAGGAGCCCCCCAAAGACGTCTCCAGGGGGCTCCCAAGGGGCCCCAAGAAGCATCGAGGGCCTTCTTGTGAGCGACGTGGGCTGAATAGCAGGGTGGGCCAGACTCCGCTGGATGCGCAGGTCGCGTAGCGTACCTTCTCCTCCTCATCCTGCCGAACTCTGCCCTCGACCCTCGAGGATCGAAGAACAGTTTGACGTCCCCAGGAGGACGTCCGAGTACGTCTGGGGGTCAGCGCTCTGGTCGGCACTTCCTCGTCCTCCCACTCCTCCTCTTCCTCCTTCTCCTCTTAGGGTGGGCGGACAGCTAATATCCGTAGGTCGGCCCCAATACCAGATGCTAGCTTGACCTTCTTAGGTGACGTACTGGTCCTCCACATCCTCCTCCCTTCCTCCCTCCCTCCTTCCCTCCTCCTGGGCCCCCCTGGCCCCCCTCCTCCCTCTCGGGGGCGCGCAAACATGGATTAGCGATCCATGGATTTGGCGCGCGGTCGCCAAGCCCATGGATCGGGGGAGGTGCCCTCCCCAAAATGCGGCCGGTGCCGCCCCGCTCGGCGGCGGCAATCCGCGATGTCCCGTGGAAACGGGGCCCGTCGCGGATCCGCGCCCGCTTCATCCGTGCTTGCGATCGCCTGACCTGACTACCTACCAGACCACCCCAACCCAACCCGAAGACCCGAATTTCGGGTTGGGGGGGGTATGGGCTCCATATGTGTTTTTGTCGATGTTCCCAGACCCCCCCCCACTGGAAATGGAGGGCAAGATGAGGCCTTCGGGTTGGGTTGGGGTGGTTTGGTGGGTGGTGATGACCCTCCTCCTTCCTCCTCGCTCCTTCCCCCCGCGCCGCCGCCTACCTTTCGGTAGCGGCGCGTGGGAAGCCATGCACCCTGCGCAACGTAGCGCCGCGCAGGCAGCCCGCTCGGGCCAGGCCTGCCTGGCTTTCTCGCTCGACCGCCCCGGTTCGATTTTTCGGTGGCCTGCGTCAGCGTCGTCTCGAGCTCCTCGGGCGTTTTCGGTCTTTCGTTGACGACTCGATTTGGGTTCTGGCTCTTCCTCCTCCTCCCTCCTCCTCCTCCTCCTCCTCCTCCTCCTCCTCCTCCCCCTCCTCCCCCAACCGTAGCCACGTGGCTCGGGCGTTTTCGGTTTCGGGCGTTTTCGGTTTTTCGTTGACGACTCGATTTGGGTTCTGCTCCTCCCCCCCGCGCCCGATCGTCCTCCCGCTCCTGCACTTGCACCTGCCCGGCCGCACACGCAGGCCGGTGGGGGCGACTCTGGGGGCGACGCCAAGCTTGACAAGGCCAGTCGACTCTGAAGGGGCCCTGGGACACACAAATGAATATACACGAATAGACAGATTCCCCATGTTTTCCCATATCTTCTGGGTTTCTGTCCTCCCCCCCACTTCCCATATATTCCCACATAATCTGGTGAGTCGACGATGGATTGTGTCTGTGTGTTTCTTTCCCTCCTGAGACTCCTCGTTTCCCACGGCGCCCAGCTTCGCGCTCTGCGCGCGGCGCGAGCAGTCTCGCGCCCTCGCGCCGCCCCACCCACAGGAGAGAAGAGGGGAGGACGAAGAGGCGTCGGAGCCGCACCGCGAAGCGCGAAGGCCTTCGCGGCCTGGAGGGCGCCCGTGGTTTCGCGCCGCTCGAAGATCGAGCCGATTGGGCGTGGCTTAATGGAGAGGTCACAAATGGGGGGGTCAGAAAAGGTCCCCTTTCGTGCCCCTTTCGGGCCCCTCCAGAGCCCCAGGGGGCTCGTTTAGGTACCATTTGGGTACCTTTTCGGACCACGCTCGCCGCCCCCCCATTTATGATCCCCCCATTACGCGGCGCCCAAGCCGATATCGTCTTCGCACTGCCGGGCGGCCCCCGCGGAGAGAAGTAGACGAGCGCGTTCCACTACTCGCAAAGTAACTACTCGCAGATGGCCCAGATCCCCCGCGGAGGATCTACGGTAAATGGCATCAAAGCGGACAGGTGCTTTTCGCACGTTTGCGAGTAGGCACTTTGCGAGTAGTGGAAAGCGCTCGGTGAAAGAGGGCCGTCGGAGTGATGCCAGACCTGTCGCATGGGCGGTGGGCGACTGCGCCGCGGGGCCGGCGGGGTCACTGCAGACGTGAGCAAGCCTTGCCACGAGGGCGTCAGCTTGAGATTGGGACGCCCCGGGACATACCAGTACTACAGTCAACCAGTACAGTAAGGATGCGCGGCAAGAATGCAAGGGCCCTGGACGCCCATTCCGAAGCTGTTCGAGCGGGGCGCGGCCAGCGAAAGCGGCGAAGGATGGACCGAGGAGGCAAGGATGCAAGGGTACCCTTGGGAAGGTTGCCCATCCTTCCTGGACTGGTTGACGGCAATGTGAACTTCTTGCAGGCGTGCGCCCGCCCTGACCGTGCAGTAGACCCATCTTGTAGCGCACCACTACTTCGAGCGGAGAGGCGAGAAGACGCCCGCCACGACGCACACACACACATATATATGTATATATACATATATATATGTACATATATATATATATGTACACACATGTATAAATACTACAAGATTGCTCGGTGCGCGCGTCGCCCCTTTGGGGGCGACGAACACATAGTAATGGCATGTGGGGGTGACGCCAATGAAATGCCTGACGCTGGCAATGCTACCTCGTCGGCTCGCCCAATCCGCACGAAGGGGGGGGGACATACCGCAACGGATCATCACGACGATAATTGCCGCCATCGTGGCCCATCGGCAGCCCCTTCGGCTAGTGGCGATGAAGCTGGAGCCCTCAGACGACCAGGCCCCCGGAGCACACGGGCCCCATTCTCTGCGCAAAAGTTGTGGGCCACATGGCCTATCCACGGACTGGGGAGCTGCGCCCAAGACGCAGCTTGAGGGAGCAAGGTCGGTGCTCATGCAAAGGGACTTCATCCCCAAGCAGATGTGCGGCTGCAGCCAAGCTGACGCCCAAAAGTGAGAAAACGGAGGCGACCACATCGACGAACAGCAGCACACCCGTGGTGCGCGATGTGAGCTTCGTCGATCGGCCACGCGAGCACTGTGGTTAGACGCCCACCACGGGGAGGAAGGCGGTGGGAGACGAGGACGATGGAGAGGGGCAGGAGGTAGAAGAGGGGCAGGAGGTAGAGGAAGACGATGGAGAGGGGAAAGAGGGGCAGGAGGTAGAGGAGAGCACCGGAGAAGAGACAGGCGGAGGAGGAGGGCGGAGGAGGAAGAGGATGAGGAAAAGCAGGCGGGCGAAGGAGAGGAGGGTAAGGAGGACGAGGGGGGAGGATGAGGAGGACGAGGAGGGCGAGGAGGAGGAGGATGAGGAGGGCGAGGAGGAGGGGGAGGTGAGGAGGATGAGGAGGGTGAGGAGGATGAGGAGGATGAGGGGGGAGATGAGGAGGATGAGGGCGAGGAGGGGAGAGGGAGCAGAAGAGAAGGTAGATGCGAAGGACGGGCAGGGAAAAACGCGGAACGGGAGCATCGCCAGCACGAGCCTCTTCCTCCCATGGCTACTGCTCGACCCCCTCCTGTCATTATCTTCCTCCTCCTCCTCCTCCTCCTCCTCCTCCTCCTCCTCCTCTCCCGTGCCCCCTGCACGAACACCCAGACCCCTCCTGTCACGCTTCGCTGAGGGACGCTGTCTCTGAGCATCCGGGTGACGAGGGAAACACAGCTGGAAGAGAGAGGGGGCGTTCCGCTCACCGTACACTTTGCGAAATGCTTAAAACATCATGGGTTAAGAAACTCAGAGTCTCAGAACTTGAATAAAAACCCAGAACTTCTATTGAAATCTTCGGATTTACATTGAAACATTAAGAATAATCGAGACTCTGGCCGAAAACTTAAGTTTTCTTAAGCACGCCTAAGGTGTACTCCCCGCGGCAACTCAGGCAAGCGCGCAGAGCGGTTCTGCGCCCGCCCTCCGGCGTGTTCCTCGCGGCGCCTGCTGGCACGCGGGGGTGCCCGGGTGTCGCGCTGGCTATCTCGCGATAGCAATCTGCGTGTGAGCTTCAGGCTCGACTGAATCTGAGCGTGACTGATCTGCATGTGAGCGAGTCGAAGAGCGAGTGGATCCGGATGTGGCTGAGCCTGACTGTGATAGTCAATGCGAGTAGGAGCAGGTCTGAGCATGCGTGAGCCTGAGTGCGAGCGAGTCCAAGTGCGAGTTGGTCTGGGTGTGAGTGAGTCTTAGTGTTTGTGTGTGAGATGAATACAAGTCTGAGTATCAGTGGGCCAGGGTGCGAGGTAGTCTGTGTATGAATGAGTTTGAGGGTTGATGAGTCTGAATGTGAGTGAGTCTGAGCGTGACTTGGTCTGGGTATGAATAAGTCTGAGTTTGAGCGAGTCTGAGTATGAGCGAGTCAGTATGTGTGAGTCTGAGGATGAGGAGTGCGATCGAATCTGAGTGTGAGCGAGTCTGAATGTGATGGGGGAGTCTGAGTGAGGAAGAAGTGCTGATTAGTAAGTCCGAGTGCGAATGAGTGCGTCCGAGTGGGGAAAAATGGGAAGGAGGTGAGTGAGTGAGTGAACGAGGGGCACATACGTTCAAAGAAACGTCTGTGGGGGGAGGGGCAGCGACGAGCAAACCGCCTGAGACATCCCCCCCCCCGATCTGAACGCAAATCCTGAAGTGTCCCCAGCCCTGGCGGCTCCGCCCTGGGGTGCCCGAGCGCCACGCTTGCTATATCGCGAGGAACACTGGACATCCGAGAGAGAGGCGTCTGATAAAGGGGGGCAGAAGCGACCAAACCGCCTGAGGCATCCCCACAAACTGGACGCGAGCCCAGGGAGTGCCCCCCCCCTGGCGGCTCCCCCCTGGGGCGCTCAAACACAACGCCTGCTATATCGATGTGAGCACTGAACCATATAATAATAATAATGATGATAATAATAAAAATAATACTAATACTAATAATAATAATAATACGAATAAGAATAATACTAATAATAATAATAACGATAATAATAATAATAATGAATTTAATAATAAGCAAAAAAAACGAGGGACGGAAACAGATCAGCCGTCTGAGGCGTCCCCCAAAATCGGATCGCAGATCCTGGAGCGTCCCCACCCCTGGCGGCTCCGCGGATGCCCAAGTGCCGCGCCTGCCCGCTCGCAGTGAACGCTGGGCCGCCAAGAGAGAGAAAGGAGCCTGGGGGCAGAAATGAGCAAAGCACCTGAGACAATTTCACAGCCGGGGGTGTTGGGCATGCAAGGCAAACTGCCTGAGCCATCCGCACAATCCGAGCACGAATCCTGGAATGTCCCCACCCTGGCGCCCCCCCCCCCACCCCTCGGGGTGTTGAAACCAGCGCCTCGCCTGAGACATCACCACTTGGGCACGCAAACAGGCAAACCGCCTGAGACATCCCTACGATTTGAGCGCGAATCCTGGAGTGTCCCCACCCATGATGCCCCCTCTTTGGGGTTCCGCCCAAATATTACGCCTGCAATATTGCGGTGAGCAGTAGACCACCAATGAGTACCAGTGAGAGGAGTGTGAGTGTGAGTGAGCCCGAATTGTGCTGTGTTAGTACATGGCCTGTCATGGTACGATGTTTAATGTTATGCAATGCTTTTTGGTGCTGTGTTAAGTCATGCTTTGTCATGATGTGTGGTGTTATGCTCCGTTCTGTCACGAACTGTCGTGCTCGTCGAAGGGGCGAGGCGGAAGTCTCGGGGGATTCACGGTGGGCCTGGAGATCCGGGGCGGCCGCGGTATGCAGAGTGGGAGGGTCGGCGCAAGGCGGGAGCCTCGGAGGTTCTCGGTGAGTGAACCCAGGGAACCGCGGGGCGCGGTGTGCAGGGTGGGTGGGCCAGGAGGCTTCCTGTTAAATTCTAGCGACCCCAACCTGCCAGGTGGGACCAACGCACTTTTTGGTCTGCGGGTCGAGAGCGAGCCTCTTCCGGTTAAGACAGGTGGGACTAACACACATCTACACACAAAACGCGTCCTGCCTTCCTCTGGCCTCCTCTTTCTCCTCCGCCTTGCCATTTCCATCCCCCTACTCTCTCTTCCTTGGTCTTCCTCCCTCCTACTTTCACTTCCACACGAAGAAAAGCAAGATGTGATGGGGAACTCCCTTCGCCGGAGCCTCCGGCTCGCCCCTTGTGGGGTTCTGGGACTGGCACGGGCCAATCGGGCAGGAGAAGTCCACTGCTGAGATGGGGCCAAGATCTCCTGACCTGATGCTCAATGGCGGCATCAGTTTTCCCGCGACAGCGAATGCATGGGATCTCCACCCAGGAGGAAGACGAGCGGAACGGAATGCCCGAGGGGACTGCACAGCACTGAACACTCGATCAAGCCAGGCTTAAGCGAAGCGAACCTTGGCGGTCCAGGGTCGGTAGACAGAAAACCTCACTGAGCCGACCCAAGAGGCCCGACAATAAACCGCGAGAACGGGCAACTTCAGATTGATAGTTCAACCGGATTTGCTCCATTGAAGCTTGCATGCGCTGTCCGTGGGAAGGGGGCGTCCCTGGACCCGAACATTCTCCCAGCCTGGAGCGCACTTTGCCCAGGCCCTCTCTTCCGATAGAATGCTTCACCAGTCCACCGCGTGGGGCAATGAAAGAAGAGTCCTAAACAAGCACTAGAGGCGCCTTCAATATCGCCGCGAACTCGCTGCTGAGCTTGTACTGTCTGGTTGGCTGTTTTTGTTATGCTACCTATATGCCTTTGGGTGGCATGCCATCAGAATTCACAACCGACCAAACAAAACATATGTCATCCTGACTGAATGTGCGAATGCATCATGACAGATGTCACGAACATGATAATCTTGCCGAGTTCGCTCTCAAACGCACGCGCAGGTACACATGCTCCCGATGATGTGCAGCTCCGAGTGAGAAAGTGCGAACAAAAAACAGCTCACTTCGCTTTCTCGCCCACGTCGTCGCCGTACCCTTCGTGGGCGACTTTCACCTCGTCTGTAAGACAGGCGCCTGGGGAGCACTTGCGAAACCGAAGACACAGGGAAGGCGGCTGGAGGAGGGAAGCAGGGGGCGCGAATCGCCTGGGGTCGGGGTCGGGGTCGAGGTCGGGGCTAGCAGGGGAAATGCGAATGCGTACGATACCGAGGAAGGAGGGAAGGAGAGATGCGATATGGGCGACGAAGAGGGTCGAGGTCGGGGCTAGCGGGGGCACGGGGAATGCGTACTAGACGGAGGAGGGTCGATGTCGGGGCTGGGGGGGGCACGGCGAATGCGTACGATACAGAGGAGGAGAGGGCAGAGGGGATGAGAGACGCGAGATGGGCGACGAAGAGAACTCTCGGGGATGGACAGACCCCCCTTTAGTAAAACGTGGTTTAGTGAAAACGACCTGAGGCCCAAACCTGGCGGGCGCAAGCCTGGAAAACAACGGCCGCGGCGCCCTCTCGAGAACCGAAAACGGACAATTCACTAATCGACGTGTCACTGTTGGGGGTTCTGCCCACCCCCGAAGAACGTCGTTAAAGGCTTAACGACTTCTGCCGTCCTTCGACTCGCGCTGGAGCGGCCGCGAGTTGCTTCACCTTTCCTCGGAGATCTTTGGATTTACCCGGATTTGTCTCGATTTGCCTGGATTTGTCTGGATTTACCTCGATCTATCTGCGTTTGCCTGGACTTTTCTGGCTCGCCCCCCACAAGTCGATCGGCGAAGAGTCGACAAGCCCTTAGGGAGAACGGGGCCCCGAACACTGAGGACGTGGCGCCCCGACGCGATGGCCTGCGCAAAAAAGGAGGATGATGATGATGAGGAGGAGGAGGAGGAGGAGGAGGAGGAGGTGGAGGAGGAGGAGGAGGAGGAGGAGGAGGGAGGAGGAGGAGGAGGAGGGAGGAGGAGGAGGAGGAGGAGGAGGAGGAGGAGGAGGAGGAGAGGACGTGGAGAGGCGAGGGCGCCGGCGCGCGCCCGTGTATGTGCGGGCAGCCTGCGCGCCGGTGTTTCCGCGCCATCGGGGCCCCGCTCCTCTCGGGCCGGGCGAAAGGGGGGGATAGCAAAGGAACGAAGGATTGCACGAAGGATTGCAAAACAACGAAGGATTGCAAAAAAACGAAGGATTGCAAAAAAACAAAGGGGTTTGAGAATCAGTAGGAGGGCACCAACTATACACCAACACCGATCCTGGCCCAGGATCACCCTGGGCCCATGATCGGTGTATATGCCTTCTCGCCCAAGGCAGGAGGGCATATACACCGATCCTGGGCCCAGGGTGATCCTGGGCCAGGATCGGTGTCGGTGTATAATTGGTGCCCTCCGAATCAGCTCACGCAGCTGATTTTCCCGGCGCCTCCCGGCGCCGAAGGCGCCCATGACTGGGCACCTCGGTGGGGCCGAAACCAGCTGCACGCCGCAAAGTTCGTACCCCCCCTTTCCCAATCCCCCCCTTTCGTCCGGCCCGATCCTGCTGCGCCACAGGTGGCGGCCACGGCCGGGTGCAGGCCAGCGAGGGGAAAGGGAGGCCCATGACCTGTAGCAAGCTCGCCGGGTTCGTTTCGATGTGGCGCTGGGCGCTCGTCGCACCGTCTGCGGGCAAGATGTGTATGCAAATCCGCTGCATCTCGAAATTTCGGGCCCCCTTGCCAAGACACCCGAAACCCAGTGGATATGGACAAAATCCCACCAGCCCTTTTACGGCGTAGGTGGTCTAGAGAGTTTTCTCTTCCAACCCCGTTCTTCCCCTTCGGGGAGGAGCTTACCCCTCCCCCTACCCCCTACGATGGACCTGGACGGGAGGTTCCGCGACCCGTTGGAACGTCCACAATGACCCAAGACGGCTCCAAGAGCGCCTCGGAGAGCCCAAGATGAATTCCAAAATGGCCCCCCCACACACACAAAAAAAACAATGGCGTCGCAGGATGGCTCCCAAGCTGCTCCAACGAGGCCCCAGGAACGCTCCGAGACGGACCGAGGTGGCCACGGAGCCTCCCCAGGAAGCCGCCAATAGGACAATATCCTTGCACAACCATAAGGAAATTACTACGTTGGGAGGCCTGCGAATGGGCACCAACACCAATTCAGGGGGGTGCCTCCACAAGGGGAAGATGGTCCTAGATTGCGGCGTTGGTGGTAGGTAATATTCCGGTCGCTGTGAGGCCAGAACATTACCACCATCACCGAGATCGGGAGCTTCTTCTCTCGGTGGAGGCAAACCGCCGATATTGGTGTTGGTGTCTACCTCCAGGCCTGCGATGTGTGCTGTTCTTGTTTCGCCTTTGCACATCCGGGGGCCCTCCGAGGCCGCAGGGTGGCTCCAAGATGGCCCCCAAGAGAGGGCTCCAGGAGGGGCCCTAGGAGGCCTCCAAATAAGGCCCCCCGAAGCGCCCAAGAGCGATGTGTGGGGCCCCCGATGGGGGCGGAGCCCCCCCACCCCCCTTCTGTGGGAAAACACACACACACACACACTGTGGGAATAAGAACATACAAAAAAAACACACACACACACACACACACACACACACACACACACACACACACACACACACACACACACACACACACACACACACACACTTATGCGGGGAAAAAAACACACACACACACACACAACACACACACACACACTGTGTGTGTGTGTTTTCCCACGAGGTGACCCCAAGAGCGCACCTCAGGCTCCCAAGAGCGCCCCAGGAGGGCCCGAAGAGGCGCCAAGGCAGCCCCAAGAGGTGCCCGAGAGGCCTCCAAGAGGCTCCCGAGAGACCCCCAAGAGGCTCCCCGATGAATGCCAGATGTTCAAAGACTGCTTGAACGCTCAGGCGCTCAGGAGCCTCTGCAGAACGCCCAGGCGCCTAGAAGCCTCTGCAGAACGTTCTGACGCTCAGAAGCCACTGCAGAGCACTCAGGCGCTCAGATGCCTGCGCAGAGCGCTCAGGCGCTCAGAAGCCTCTGCCGAGCGCCCAGGCGCTCAGGAGCTGCTTGGGAGCATCTTGGAGCTCTCCTGGGGCCTCTTGGGAGCTCTCGGAGGCCTTTCGGGGTCCTCTTCGGCGATGGATGCCTGCGGGGCGGCACCCTGGAGCTCGTTTGGGCCTGCTCGGGGCGTCTTTGGGGCCTCGGTGGTGTATCTTCGGACGTCATGGGGGGCCTCTTTTGGCCTCTCGGGGTCTACTTGCGCCGCCCGGGACGCCTCCGGGGAACCCCGCCGGACCTGCCTGGGGGGTTGCGCAAGCATCAGAAGCGTGTCGGAGGCGGAAGTGCGAGAAAACAAAGCATAACTGTTTCGTTGGTTTTCCGAAGATTTTGGGCGTCTCGAGGGTTGCCCCTGAACTCGGGGGAATCTTGAAGCCTCTTGGGGCGATCCAGAATGCTCTGAGGGGCTTCCAGAGCCTTCGGGGGGCCGGCTTGGACAGCATTGGGGCACTCTTGGGCTATCTCGGGGGCGCCCTGAGCCGTTTTCAGGCTCTCCCAGGGCTCTCTTAGGCGCCCGGGAGGGTTGCACCCGGGACTTGCCAAGAATGGTCGCGGAATGGGCGGAGCCCAAGGGGGGGCCGAATTATCTACATTACATATGGTACGCATATGCATCTGCATCTGCCCGCACACACATATATATATATAGGTGTGTGTGTGTGTGTATATATACATATATATATATATATATATATATATATATATATATGTATATATATATGTATACATATATATACACATACAGACAGGCATACATACATACATACATACATACATACATACAGACAGACAGACATACATACATACATACAGACAGGCACACAAACATACGTACATACATACATGCATGCATACATGCATGCATGCATGCATGCATGCATACATACATGCATGCGTGCATGCATACATACGCACATACATACGTACAGAACATACACACACATGCATTTATGCATGCATGCGCACGTACATACTGACTGACTGCCTGACTGAGTGATTGACTGATTGACTGACTGACTGGCATCAATTCATGCATCTTGCATGTCGAAACACACACAATTGTTAAACATGTCAAGCCCTTGATCCTTAAATTTGATCCTGGGTCCTCCTCGCCTGTGTCGATGTCCCACACGCGGATGGTGCTGTCGTCGGATCCGCTTACGAGAACGTTCCCGCGGAGGTGCAGGAGGGCCCACACCACTCCGCAACCCTCCTTCTGCCAGTAGTTGGCGTCAGGGCCTGTGAACACTGGGGGGGGGGGGGAGAAATAGGACAGGGATGGGAGGGGAAGGGAGGGGAGGGCGGAAGGAGGGACGGAGGAGGGAGGAGGAAAAAAGATTATAATTGCGGGTGGCAGTGGTGGAAGAGAGAAGACGTGGCGGCAGTAGTCGAAAAAACAGCGGTCCTTTTCCCTTCACATTACCATTACGCGGGCCCACATACAGCCAAATAGCAGAGGGCACGGGCGTTCCTATTCGCATCGGGGCTGCCAGGCAATGGAGACCGTCCACCCGCAAAGAAGCGCCAGAGCAGTCACCGCGCAGCCGCAACAATGGACGCTCGGCACAGCGCACCCGTGGCTCAAGAGCGTCGGCCCCAACGAAATTTCGTGAACCCTGGGAGCTCTGTCGGCTCGTCTGTGGTCACTTCGTAAGTGGTATGAGGTGACCATGACCAAGGTCGTGAATCGCAGCGGCACCCCTCACCAGGAAGAGCCCCGAGGTGGTGTCGATCGGTCGATGTCGCCTGACAACCGGGAGCGGGGTGCTGTCTGCGGGGCCCAGCACAGGTCGTGCTCGGCGTGAGCTCGAGCCGCAGTACCGATCGCGCCTTCCAGCCAGGTTCGCTCCATGGCTCTACTTCTGGCACACCGCTGGTGTGCCCGCGCGACTTCGGCACTCTGTTGTGATCTTTTGTGAGTAGGTGCCGACGAGCGTAGCTGGCCGTCGCGCCGTTTGCGCGGCTCGGTAGCTGGGGGGCGCCCGCCCGCTTTGTTTCGTGCGCGCGCCGAAGCAGCGTGTCCAAATGTTCGCAGCAACGTGACTCTAGTTGCCAGCGCTTCCCAAGCAAAGCTGCCCACTGGCCCGCGCGTTGGTCCGGCGACTGCCGAACGGCGTCGGCGCCGCGCGGGTTGTCTGGATGTGGCCAGCAACTGCGCACTGTCGCAGGCGGCTTGCTTCGGCTTCTCGCAGATGCCTCGTCGTCGGCCGCGCAGCCCAGCAAATGCCCAGGTCGCCGCGGCGGATGCCAGCGAGTGCGTCAGGAAGGGCGACCAACGACGCAGCGCTGACCCCTGTGGCGGCGTTCTGTCGTGCCGGCGCCCCGTCGCGCAGGCGGCGCCGAGGTGCTAAAGTTGGGCGGGCGCGCGCGGCGCCCAACGAATGCCTGGCGCGCTGCGACCAGCAGAGCTTCGCGATGAAGGCGTCCGCGTCGATGTCCGCGCGGCGCCAATCTCCTGCGGGACACGCGAACCACTGCAAGTGACGGAGAAGCTGGCCAGCCACTGATGGCATGGAACGGCTTCTCAAAGGTGCTCGCGACGAACTAAATTTGCGACGAGCGCGTGGTCGGGCCTCCCTCGCAGCGCCCGTCGTAACTCACTCGCCGAGCGCCTTGCAGCCGGCACTTCAGACTCAGACAAGCTCAAGCCCATCGCGGATGCACAAACACTTCCCGTCGGACCGTCGAAGGCGCGGCGGAGCGCGCGCTGCCGGCAGCCGCGCGAGGGGAACTCGCCCGGCCAGCTGTCCCAGCCCGAGGAACTGGGGGCGCGCCCGGCCATAACGACCGCGTTATTCTGCATGTCTCTGTCAGGCTCACGCGGTGAACCTGGTGGCTGATGTCGCGTGTTCAGCGACGCTGGGCACGGCCTCGCCCAACAGCGCCCTGGGGCAAGCACTGCCGCGCGCGTCGAGCGCGCAACTGTCCGCGCGAGGGCGCTGTCGCGATGCAGCACAGACAATGCGCAGGCGCACCTCGGGCAGCGCCGCGCTGCTCCCCAGCAGCCGACCCCGACGGGCGGCCATGGCGCCAGACCGACGTCGGCGCCTAAGCGCCCACTCCAGAGGCTGACGCGGGAGCGACGAGTGAAGACATAACGCAGGATGACCTCGAAGGCCCCGCGCAGCTGCGCACGGGAGCTGCACTGGCCTGCCGCGCTCATTCTCGGCAGACTCAGGGATCTCCGAGATGAACGTCGCACTGGCGCCCGTGATGCGGCCCCTCCATCCCGAAAGGGTCCTCGTCGGCAGTGGTGCCATGATGCGCCGCCGTCTGCACGTGCCTCGCGGTGCCTTCGCGTCGTTCCGATGTCGTCGAGCTCAGCGCGCCGCCGCCTCGAACGTCTGCTTCGCCATCGCTTCGGCCTTGTCTAGGACCATCAAGTCTGCGCCGGCCCCCGCTGGCCATGATCTCGCCCGCGGCCTCCCGGAGGCTGGCAACCTGAGCAGCCCCCATCGGCATGAAGTCCTTCGCGGCGTTGATCACGACGGGATTCGCGGGGTAGACCTCTCCCACTTTCGGCGGGGCCAACACGGAAATCAGCTGGGCGTCGCACATGGGGGAGCGCATCTTGCTCAACTTATTGCAATAGTCGGCGATGATCGACATGAGACTGCACATCTGGGCGCGGGCGTCGGCGGCGGCCACCCCCGCGGGGCTAGGGGTCGCGCGCGCCTCCAGCAGGAGCGCCTCGGCGCGCATGCCGTCTCTGATGAACAGGAAGGCTCGCCCCCGCCCCCCAGGCATCGCGACGTCGAGCCCCCTGGCAAGCCCCCCCTCGCCCGATTGCATCGCCCTGGCAGCGCGGAAGCAGCGCTCGTGGCAATGGCGCGCCAGGAGGAACGAGAGCTCCCCGACGGGGGGCCCAGAGTCCTGGCAACGCCAACTTCGAGGTCTTGCGGCGTGCGACGTTGAAGAAGTCCTGGGCGGCGTTCATCGCGTCGCCCTTCGCAATGTTTCGGCGCTCGGCGAAGAAAAGGCCCTCCACCGATGCGCGTTGACAATGGTGCCCAGCGCGGCATCACGCAGCGCAGCATGACGCTCTCCGACTGGCCCATGGCAACCACGCGGGCACGCGCCTTCTTGATCATCGCCTCCTCGGCGAAGTTGCCGCGCGTGACGCGGCGCGCTGCCCGCGGCCCCAGCCGACCTGCCGAGTCAATGGGAAGCGCCTGGTAGCTCTGCCACACGCTGGCCTCGACGCACCCGAGGCGGCCAGACTCGACATCCTTGGCGGACGCCGCGCGGTCGGACTGCTCTGCGCCGCGGACGGCCGCGCTGCTGCGGGGCAGCGCGCGGCGCGAAGGCCGCGGCGAGGACAGCGGCCACGGCGTTGGCGCGTGGGCATCCACGCCAAGGCAACGCGGCAGGATGCGCGACTCTTCCTGCAAGGAGCCTCGCGACTCGGGCTCGGGGCGCTGTCCGGGGCGGCTCTGGCGCCCCAGAATTTCCTCGGCGAGATGACTGCGGGAGCGCAAGGGGTCTACCTGGAGGGCGCAAGGGCATCGTTGGCCACGACTGCGGTCGTCTACATTGTCGGCCACATTCTTCGCTCGACTCCTGGGCCACCCGCCCGCCCTGCACTGGGACGTCGCTCAGACGGTCGAGACCGTCACTGCACAGGCGCACCCACGCTCGCGTGGATGCATGCCTGGTCGCCCGAACACTAGGGGCCGCCGCGCGGTGACAATCGGCCACTATGGAAAAAGGTGGTTGCACGCGAGTCGCGCTGAGCGCGTGAAACGCACTAACCTGGTCTCACGAGACCCGCCGTTCTGCGCGAAAGCGGTTCGTGACTTGGCGGCATAGCTGTTTCTTCGCGCGAGTCGCCCGGAGGTCAAGCCAACGCTCGCGCGCTGCTTTCCGGCGCGTGAACCAGGCTGAGCCAATGCCAAACAGGTGCATGATATACAGACTAAGAAATACTTCGCATCCAAGTGCAAGACGCAACGCGCACGTCACGAATTTCGTTGCTACGTTGATAGGTCACACCGACATGCCAGCCAAAATCTCTCTCACTTCTCCGTCGCTGCGTGGCCCAACGCCCTGGCCCATATGGCGCATGGCCGCGGCTGCATCGGTTGCCGCGCACTTGGCTCAGCGAACGCGAAGATGCGCGCGCAAGTGGTGCCTCGCGCGCAGCGTGGTTGCGCGCGCACGCGGCGCGCCGCGCTGAACACCGCGGGAGCTTCGGCCGCGCTGTTGCCAGGATGACGGCGCGAGTTGGCGGCGCGCAGGTGGGCGCAGCCGAACTCGGCGAGGTTGCGGCTCGCAGTCGGCACCTGGAAGACGGGGCTGGCACAGTAGCCGGGGCACCTGGGCCCCAGCAGCGCCAAGAAGAGGGCGCTGGAGCACGCGGCGGCGTGCCCGACGCTGGGCGCCAAGAAGCCCCACCCTAAGCGCGGGTAGTTGCTCGGCCGCGCTAAGCTGAGACCGGGGCAACTCGGGGCAGAGAGCCCCTCTACCCTGGCATTGTTTGGGCTGCCACGCGCGCCGTTGTGTCATCCAAATGAGCCGCAGGGCTCTAGCGTTGATCGCGCGTGCGCATGCGTGGTCCAGGCTGAGCATTGCCGCGCACGCGGGCGCACTGGCGCGCCTCAGAGCCTCTGCGCCGGTGCTAGCCAGCAAGCAAGTCGTGCTCGCGTGGGCCGGGGCTGGGGCATTGCCCGCTGGAGGATTTGCAGAAGTCGCGTTGTTTCTATTGTCCTGGCCGCATGGCCGATGATCTATGGGAGGATCGCAGCATCAGACTCGTCAGACTGGAGGCTGAACCGTTCGGTGGAGTCGATCGTGCTGGCGTCGATTAGTTGCGTCCTGCGCGGCGCTGTCATACTGGCGCCGACGATCGCGTAGATCCTGCAGCAGACCACGACCTCCAAAACGGCGCGCACCGTTCGAAGTCGGCGCAGTCAGAGGCGACGCCGTGGCTGCGGCGACGCTTGTCGCGGCCACGGTGTGGTCATCGTCGTTGTTGTGCCGGCTGTGGTCGGCGGCTTAGTCTTCGTTGTCGTAGCAGATGTGGTCGAGCTGCATGGGCCGCGCACAGGCGTGCAATCGCGCTTGGCGCCGGCGCGGTGGCTGGACGCGGCCGCGCATAAACAGGGCGCTGGCGCGGCATGGCCCGGCGGGCCGTCGCGGGCCACGCCGCGGCGCCGCGGCCCCGCGGCGCGCGTTTTGCGGCCGCCGCGGCGCGGCCATGCAGCGCGCGTTTTGCAGCTATTTTGCCGGTCGCTGGACGC